CTTTTGGGGCTCCTGTGCCAAAAATTGTGCGTGCGCTAGCATGCTCGCACTTGCATGCTAGCACCCAGAAGGCAATGCATGCCCCCCTACGCATGCGAGCACAATCCCCACCCACCCCCACCACCCCCTTACCTGCACTGCGCTTCACTATTCTGCTGTATAGTGCAGTCTTGGTGTGGTGTCGGGGGTTTCTGGTTCAATGTGTGAAGGGTGAAAGATGTGTGTTTGTGTTTATTTTCATGGACACGGTCATGATGTGCACTGAAGATGGTGTTTGATTTCGTTGTATGAGGTGCAATGACAATAAAGTAAAGTAAACTAAACTAAATTAAACAGTTGATTTTGGCCGGTTTGAGGCCTTTTTCGGCCTCCCAGGGGCTTGAGGAAGGCTTCTGCAGGTTTTGCAGACCGAAAACTAGGCCCATTCCGTCACTTCCGGTATTTTCGGAAAATCAGGAAGTGATGAAACGGGCCTAGTTTTCGGCCTGCAAAAGCCTTCCTCAAGCCTCTGGGAGGCCGAAAAAGGCCTCAAACCGTCTGAATATCAGCTATGAGGCATGCACATGCGCAGTGAGGTAAGTTTGCCTGCTGCTCGCATGCAGGCACAAATGGCTTTGCATGCTGCCTGTGACACGTGTGCCATAGGTTCACCATCACGGTTATAGGGTCTCCAGCCAGAGGGTTGGACTTCAAGACCTCCAACTATAATAGTCCAAATAGTCCTATTATTCTATGTTCTATGTCCACCCTTGGAGTTCAACTTCTCAAGGCATCCTTCATCCTTCTTGGAGGACTTCATATGCTCCAGCCTAAGGCAATTGTGTCGGTGGAGAAAGCTGGACCATCCTCCTTCCCCTAGGGATGGAGAAGGCATGCTTTTGACCTCTGAGAAACATTGAGGCCGCTTGCAGCTTTATCTGTCCCCATAGGGACATCTGAATAGTGCAAATGGATGTGGAACCTTCTTGGAACTGCCGAAGAAGATTCTTGGGTGAGAAGAGAAACGTCTTCAAGGAAAAACAAAGAAAGTCCAGTTGCCTCTTGAAAAAAGCACCTTTGAGACAACCATGACCTGGATGAATGAAAAATCTCCACAGACACCATCATCCATAAGGTGGACTCTGAAGCTACCTTACCTGGAGGAAACGGATGAGGTAGCAAAGCACCATTTTGTTGATCCTGGGCAGGGAGTGGACGACGGCGATGGCAGCTTCGGGATTCTCGTAGTGGGTGATGCACTCTTCATAAAACTCGTGCGGGATCAGAGGCTCCTCAAGTTCGCGATACCAGAGCTTCAGCAAGGAGGCTGCAGGAGAAAGGAGAAGAATCAGAAAGGTCCCAGAAGAGGAAAGAAGATCTCCTTGGCTTGAGACTTCATTGAAACCAACTCTTGAGTTTGTCAAAACTCATTCCCTTCCTTCGGAATGCCATCCTCACATCAGCCCTCTCTTAAAGGTTCCTCTCCTCATACCCACGTGCTAGTCGTTTCCAGCTCTAGAGGGCGGTGCTCATCTCCGTAACAAAGCCGAAGAGCCAGCGCTGTCTGAAGACATCTCCGTGGTCATGTGGCCGGCATGACGAAACACCGAACGCTGTTCCCTTCCCACCAAAGGGGTCCCTATTTTTCTACTTGCTTTTTTTATCTGCTTTTGAACTGCTAGGTTGGCAGAAGCTGGGACAAATAACAGGAGCTCACTCCATGACGCGATGCTAGGGATTCGAACCGCCGAACTGCCGACCTTTCTGACTGACAAGCTCAGCGTCTTAGCCACTTGAGCCACCACATCCCAAGATTACCAACTGTCCAAGATGAAGTATTTGGTTCCTCTCTCTTCAATCAACTATATCATAACCATGGATCTGTGTATTGGGTGGACTCCTTAAGTCAGTACAGGCAGTCCTCGATGTACGACACAATTGAGCCCAAAATTTCCGTTGCTAAGTGAGACAGACAATAATTCAGTGAGTTTTGCCCCATTTTATGACCTTTCTTGCCACACCTGATAAGTGGATCCCTGCAGTTAAGTTGCTTACAAGTTTCTCAAGTAAATCTGGCATCCCTGTTGTCTTTTGGGTGTCACAAGGTCGCAAAAGGGAATCACAGGACCCCGGGATGCTGCGACCCTCATAAATAGGAACAGCGAGCGTCCAAATTTTGATCAAGTGACCACGGGGGATGCTGCAACAGTTGTAAGTGTGAAAAAGGGTCATGTCACTTTTTTCACGGCTGTTGCAACTTCGAACAGTCACTAAATAAACAGTTGTAAGTCAAGGACTGTCTGTACTGGAGTGGAAAGGGGCAATTTTAACCAAAAATTTGCCAGAACAACTGTCCAGCAAACTATTCCCCTTCTCGGTTATTTGTGTTGTATCATCCATTATGTTTGTTTACATTAGTGACTGTTCAAAATTACAACAGCACTGAAAAAAAGTGACTTATGAGCGGTTTTCACACTTACGACTGTTGCATTGTGCCATCATCAAAATTCAGACAGTTGGAAACTGACTCATATTTATGACAGTTGCAACTCCCCTTTTGCGACCGTCTGACAAGCAACGTCCATAGGGAGGAGGAGTGGGAGCGAGATTCACTAAAGAACTGTGGTTCTAAATTAACAACTGCAGTGAGTCACTTAACAACTGTGGCGAGAAAGGTCATAAAATGGGAGGCAAAACTCACTCACTAAACACCTATCTCACAGAAAAACGGGGGCAAAATCGGGGTCGTCGGTCGAGACCTACCTGTACAAAGAAAAAAATAGAAATTAACAAATGTTTCCCATCTGTTATTACCTGCAGGGTACATATTCAATTGACCTAGGGATTAAATAAGAGCGCCACAAGCCTTTCTAAGGATTCCAGCCATCACTCTAATTCAGTGGTGGCTAAGCTTTTTGGGCTCCTGTGCCAAAAATTGGGCGTGCTCAACACGCGCGCACTTGTGTGCCAGGACCCAGAATGCAATGTGCTCCCCTCCTCATGCCCACTGCGCATGCGCGCGCAATCCCCACCCCCACCCCCTTACCTGCACTGCACCTCACCGCTGATTTTTTTTGGCTGGTTTGAGGCCTCTTTTGGCCTCCCAGAGGCTTGGAAAAAGCCTCTGCGAGGCTTTTCAGGAGGAATTATAGGCCCGTTTCATCACTTCCTGTATGACAGGGCCTATAAGTCGCCCTGAAAAGCCTTGCAGAGGCTTTTTCCAAGCCTCTGGGAGGCTGGATAAAGGCTTCAAACCAGCCAAAAAAACCAGCTGTGAGGCACGCGCCTGTGGCTCGCATCCCAGCACAAATGGCTCTGCATGCCACTTGTGGCACGCGTGCCATAGATTCGCCATCACGGCTCTAATTAAATCATGATTCAAGAGCCAAACTTCAAGAAACTTCAAAGGATTCATTAGAGGCAACATCCTGGCACTGCCCTGTATGAAGCCGACTCTGGCATACGTTATTTACAGTCCCCTGTGACTCTGTTTCCCCCTCTTCCCCCACCTGGGTGTCTCATAAACCAGATTCTCCAATTGAGCATATTCACAGGCTGGGTATCATCATTCACATTCTCCAATTAAATATATTCGTGGGCAAAAGCGCTGGTAGTTTAGTTACAACCTTTTAAAGATAAGAGTTGGAATGTACTTCTGCTTTCAAACTTCTGCACGGCCTCTCCCGATTTTCCTCCCCCCCCCCCCCCCCACCCTTTTTTTTAATGGCAGCTACTAAAACAGGCATAGGAATGTTTTATGAGTTGACAACTTTATTGTCATTGTACGTATATACACAGTATACACATAGAACGAAATTCACATAACACCAGAGACCAGACTCAACACACACACACACACACACACACAATCCCCAAACACCCCCCACATGCCAAAGTTCCCCGCCCCCTAAAAACACACAAGCATCCACACAACAGACCAAGTAATACTGTCATGCCCCTGTTGGAGTCTGATTCTGAGGGGGAAATTGAGCAGCTGACAGGGAGTGGGAGTGTGGCTCTGGTGGCTGTGGAAGAAATGGGGGAAGGGCACAGTCCGGCCGGGCATTCAGAGGAAGACTCAGGACCACCCCCTCTTCATCCTAGGGCATGCAGAGAAGAAGGGAGCAACATGACTTATGAGAGAGAAAAGGGCCCTGATACCTTTCATTAGTTGCATCTGGGAGAACAGGATATAAGAGGGGCATTTGCACACAGTTCCTTGCTGGAAGCATTATCTGGGTTTTGGCGTCCTCCCAACTGTGGGTGCTGCATTATCTTTTGGAAGTCTGCAATTTATCATCCTGGCCTGCCGTGTTAATTACTTCAGTGTGGTTTGTGTTATTTTGTTATTTCTAATTTATCTTTATTTTGGGTTCGGACTGCATTTCATCCCTTCATAGACTGTTTTGGGAGGAGTTTGATCTCCCGCCGAGGATAACTAGACATTGGGGGCCAAGTTGGAGGCATTAAAGGGAATTTATTCTACTTTTGTGACTTTGTTATTTTTGTGTCACGCAAATACTGTCCAACAGCTCACTGATGGTGGTCCTTAAATTAATTGTTAAATGCAATTATAGCTCTGGGATAAAAACTGTTCAGGAAACGTGTGGTCCAAGTTTTCATTGTTCCGTATCTTCTGCCAGAAGGCAATAGTTCACAAAGATTGTAAGCAGGATGGGAAGAGTCTTTGAGGATGTTGTGCGACTTCCCCAAACAGCGAAATATCTTTTTATCTTTAAAATATCTTTTAGCCATCCAGGTTATAAACCGAAAAGGGGATCAAAATTCAAAGCGGGACAAAGCATCACAAATGGCTTTGTCCAGGACAAAGCCCCACAAAGCTGGGGCAGATCCAGCTGGAGGAGAAAGACTAGGCTGTCCTGCAGGGATGTCCTTCCACAACAGCTGTCACCCTTACCTGGAACATGGGGGTCTTCTAAACCAGTGGGGATTTTCCACTGGTCCACCTGCAGTTTGAGGGCGTTGACTTCATCAATGTCCCCAGGGACTCTGCAAGAAGAGAAGAAAGGAATTCCTCAGAGACACGAAGACATGTTGGGCCAGGGGTGTCAAACTCAAGACACTGGGCCGTATCTAACAAAATGAAATTCAACGTAGAGAAAAGTAAAGTCCTACACTTAGGCAAGAAAAACCAAAAGTACACATATAGACTGGGTGAAAACAGGCTCAATAGCAGTAACTGTGAGAGGGATCTTGGAGTCTTAGTGGACAACCAGCTAAATATGAGTTTAGCAGTGTGCAGCAGCAGCCAAAAAAGCGAATGCAATCCTAAATTGCATTAACAGAGGGATACAATCCAGATCAAGGGAGGTACTGATACCGCTCTATAAAGCCTTAGTAAGATCACACCTAGAGTCCTGCATCCAGTTTTGTTCACATCATTATAAAAAAGAGGTTGAGACTCTTTTTTCTTTTTTCACATCATTATAAAAAAGAGGTTGAGAAAAAGTGCAGAGAAGAGCAACCAGGATGATTAGGGGACTGGAGACTGAAACATACAACGAACGGTTGCAGGAACTGGGCTTGGCTAGTCTAGGGAAGAGAAGGACCAGGGGAGACAGGATAGCACAGTTCTAATCTTTGAGGGGCTGCCCCAGAGAAGAGGAGGGGGTCAAGCTGTTCTCCAAAGCACCTTTGAAAGCCAGACAAGGAATAATGGATGGAAACTGATCAAGGAGAGATTCAACCTGGAAATAAGGAGAGATTTTTCTGACAGTGAGAATAATCCACCCTTGGAACAGAAGTTGCCTTTGGAAGTTGTGGGAGCTTCATCCCTGGAGGCTTTCAAGAAGAGACTGGACTGCCATCTGTCAGAAATGATGTAGGATCTCCTGCTTGGGCGGGAGGTTGGACTAGATGACCTCCAAGGTCCCTTCCCACTCTTATTATATTCTAAATATAAAGAACGGTTGCAGGATCTGGGCCTGGCCAGTCTAGGAAAGAGAAGGACCAGGGGAGACAGGATAGCCATCTTCCAATATTTGAGGGGCTGCCCCAGAGAGGAGGAAGGGGGTCAAGCTATTCTCCAAAGCACCCGAAGGCCAGACAAGGAACAATGGATGGAAGCTGATCAAGGAGAGATTCAACCTGGAAATAAGGAGAAATTTTCTGACAGTCAGAACCATCCACCCATGGAACAGAAGTTGACTTCAAAGTGGTGGGAGCTTCATCAGTGGAGGCTTTCAAGAAGAGATTGGACTCCCATCGGTCAGAAATGGTGTAGGGTCTTGTGCTTGGGCAGGGGGTTGGACTAGATGACCTACAAGGTCCCTTCCAACTCTGATTATCTGTTATAGTGCTTCTTAAAAAAAAAACCCACCCAAGCTTCGTTTAGCATGCTACACAAACACAAGTAACATCCTTTCCCCCGCTTCTTGCATATCAATATTGCACATCAGGCCATTTGCTCATGGATTAAACCCTTCCACCAACTGATTCACCTGCAAGGACAATCGGTTTGGGATATTTCACTGTGAGTTTAATCTCTAAAAGGATGAACGTTTATGTGGTGGTAAACCCAAAGAGAAAAGAGATTGTAGGCATGGAAATAAGTTTCAATATTCCTGTGTTATATGGAAAGATGAACACGAACAAGGTTACAAGATATTAATATTAATAATATTAATAATATTAATAATATTAATAATAATAATAATAATAATAATAATAATAATAATAATAATAATAATAATAATAATACGGAGTGGAATAAACTTCTGAAGGCAGAGAGGGTGTTATGTTCCTTGCTCCTTTCAATAATGGGTGAACAATCACATGATGCCTGCACACAATTGTTAACCCTCTTTTCTGTAGGTCTCTATACCAGTTTCAAGCTGCCAGGTCTTTTTGCCAACAGTTGTGGTGGAATGGATTCCCAAACGGGAGGGGCTGCATTCCAGGGGATAAGAGATAGCAAAATTTGGATAGTTCAGTTGGGAGGAAGAGAGTTAAGACGGCTCTGCCCTAGAAGTTCTCAGAATAATTGAATGATGCAAGGAGCTACTACAGTCTGGCAAGATTCTGTCTACCGGTGAGGAACAGTAAAGGAAACGGCTCAGAAGTACTTTCTACGTGTCTTTCCAGGATTTGGGGACCTGACACCAATGTCTCATATTGACAAGTTAGAACAGGGCTGTCAAAGTGGCGGCCCGGATGCATCATGCACTGGCCACACCCACGCCCGGTTTAGCGAAGGGGGAAAGAGTCATGATGTCACGTGATGACGTTGTGACGATACAAGTTTGACACCCCCTGAGCAGTGATGGGCTGCAACCGGTTTAACTACCGATTCTTTGAGTATGCGCTTTTGCGTGCGTGCAGCATTCCATAAACACCAATTTAAACCTCTACAGCTCACCTCCTAGCTTCCCCGGTAAGTAGAAGAGCTGAGGCGCGGTAATCCACTGTGCCGCGCGGATCAGCTGAGCTGAAAAAGGTGGAAATATAGGACAAGATAGGGCGGGGCCTGCTGATCGTCGGAACTACCGGCTCTCTAGAACCGGTCCGAACCAGCAGCAGCCCACCACTGCCCCTGAGTTAGAACAAGTCCGGACAAAGATGGTTTATAAGGAATTGAAGGTATGTCCAAGAGGACACGATGGAGCAGTTGAGATGTTCATTCTGGAGAAAAGAAGGCAAAGGGAAGAAACGGTATCTGGGACACTGCGGAGAAGGGAAGATGATCAAGAACTATTTTCTGTGGCCACAGAAATCAGGAATAATAGGTGAGAGTTGCAGGTAAGTTGCCTAAATATAAGCTAAAATTTCCAGATAGTACGGTAAAATTTAGCCAATAGCGGGTAGCAGTTATGGGTTCTCCATCTCTGGAAGTTTTTAAGGAAATGGCTGGGTGGCCACCTGCCAGGTTGGTCTTGTGGTCCTTTTCAACTCCCCAGTTTGATGATTCCTGCTTGTCCACTTAAGAAAATTCCCGCATAAAGACCTACAACACAGGGCCTACTTTCTCTCTCTTTTTCATTTCTTCTGCCTTTTTCAATAATTCCTTGTTCCAGTATCTCGTAGCCTTTTTTTTCTTTCTGTTCCACCATCCCCTCTTGGGGATTTCCCAGTATACCAGCACCTCTGCTCCTCAATCTGTCCAATCTGATTTTTTTTCCAAGCTCCTTCACCATTACTCCAATAACTCAAGAATCTTTAGATTGCCATAATCCTGATCTCTCCCCGAGCTCTAGAACACCCTACCAACACCACCCCAGCCCGCTCTTCCAACCGCAACATCTCCATCATTTCGTAGCCCTCAACTGAACTTGAGGAGCTGTTCAGATGGAGAAAGGACAGCCCTTCAAGGTGCAAATTACCTGAAGATGCCTTCGGTCTGGTCTCCGTTGAGTGCGAGGACCTCTTCCGATAGCCTGGTCTGCACCCACGGAAGCTGGTGGTCCGGGTATCTCTCCTTCTGCATGTTCATGATTTCTTGCAGGGAGCTTCCAAACATGGATGGGTTGAAGACGGCGTTCTTGGCGTGACGAATCTCTTCGATGTTTGGCTTCTTCAGACCCTACAAAGCAGGAGCACATTTGGGACAAGTAGAGAATGGGATGTCATGAGACTCAGGTGGAATGGGTCTCTCCAAGGACCTGGAATATAGTCTCTAGCCCCAACGCCAACATTCCCCCAAGGAGATGAACTAGATTTCCACAGGGAGAGAACCCACCAGGAAAGAGGGAACAGGGTTGCGTGTAGAAAAAAGTAAACACTTATGTGTGGATTAAGATGGGCGCTGGTCAATCCAGGAACAAGGTTAGTTTTCTGCATTTTTCCAGCTCTGCAGAAGTCATCTTTAAGTGTGGTAGCCAGAACTGCAAACAACATCCGTATGCAGTAGCACCACCAGAAATTATATTCAAGAAAGTTAGAGTCTGAAATATTTTGGGTCCCACTTCTATTCCCAATAAAAGGGGTCTGCTTTAGGCATTTGCAACCTTTACTTTGAACGTCTCTCATGCCAACATTTGGGACTGAAAGATTGTTGACTGTTGATGAAACCTATTTTGTGTTTTTGTGCTTCCGAGTTTTTTTTCCTTTATTTTTATTATGCTTTTTTCACATTAACATATCTCATTCTCATCTTAAACAATACTGTGGCATCACTGTTACATATACAGATCTCCATACATTTATATTCATTTATATACATTTGTATACATTTTTCTTATCTCTACTATTCTTATTCCTACTATTCAACCATTCATACCAATTATCCCACACCGCATAGTCTTGACTCTTCTTTGCCTTTTAGCTCTAGAGTGAGTTTGTCCATTTCAGCACATTTTAATACCTTTTGGATTACTAATTCCTCCGGTGGTATACTGTCTCGCTTCCAACATTGTGCGAATGCAATCCTCGCCGCTGTCGTTATGTGTAGTATCATATATTTGTCTCTTTACTACATTTCCCCTTAATTATCCCTAAAAGGAACAATTCAGGTTCAAACTCTAATTGACATTTTGTTATTTATTGGAACCAACTCCGTATTTTGACCCAGTATTTCTTGGCTTCGGGGCATAGCCACCACATGTGGAAGAAGGTACCCTGGTTCTGTTTGCATTTCCAACATCTTGGATTCATCTTGGGATACATCTATCACTGTGGTTACCTGCACTAAATCAATTTTCTAACAGATTTAACAGAGTTGGAAGGGACCTGGTAGGTCATCTAGTCCAACCCACCCACCCAAGCAGGAGACCCTACACCATTTCTGACAGATGGCAGTCCAGTCTCTTCTTAATAGCTTCCAGGGATGAAGCTGTCACGACATCTGAAGGAAACTTCAGTTCCATGAATTTATTGCTCTCATTGTCAGGAAATTTCCAGGTTAAATTTCTCCTTGTCCAGTTTCCATCCATTATTCCTTGTCTGGCCTTTGGGTGCTTTGGAGAATAGCTTGACCCCCTCATCTCTGGGGCACCTTGACCCCCTCATCTCTGAGACCCCCTCGTCTGAGACCCCCTCGTCTCTGGGGCAGCCCCTCCAAGGCTGCTCTCCTGTCTCCCCTGGTCCTTCTCTTCCCTAGACAAGCCAGGCCCAGTTCCTACAACCGTTCATCGTATGTTTAAGCCTCCAGCCCCCTAATCATCCTGGTTGCTCTTCTCTGCACTCTTTCTAGAGTCTCAACATCTTTCTCAACATCCCACCTGGCTTGAGACCCTCAGAATAATTGCAGGGGTTCACCTGCAGTTCCTTTAAGGCAAGCATGGTCGCCCAGGTTTGTATATGTGTGCCTGGATGAATGAATAGCAGAGAGGCACCTTGCCTGGGAGAAGTCTGAAGTAGAGCCTTTTAAGCATACCTGTCTATCGTATGTATGTATGTATGCATGCATGCATGTATCTATCTATATCTGTATCTACCTACCTACCTATCCATCCGTCTTATTCACATTACCTATCTACCTATCTGTCCACCCATCCATCCATCCATCCATCCATCATCTTATCTACCTATCTGTCTATCTACCTATCATCCAACCATTTATCATTCTTTCTATCAATTTATTACTTTTTCTATCTATCATCCATTTATCATTCTATCATTCTATCTGCCTATCTGCCTATCTATCTGCCTATCTATCTGCCTATCT